TTTCACCATGCTGACCAGGATGGTCTCGATCTCTTGACCTCGTGATCCACCCGCCTCGGCCTCCCAAAGTGCTGGGATTACAGGCTTGAGCCACCGCGCCCAGCCAAGGTTTTTATTTTAATTCTAGAATCTGTTTGTTTGTTTGTTTGGTTGTTTTGGTTTTGAGACAGAGTCTCACTCTGTTTCCCATGCTGGAGTGCAGTGGTGCAATCTTGGCTCACTGCAACCTCTGCCTCTTGGGTTCAAGTGATTCTCCTCAGTAGCTTGTAGTCCCAGCCATTTGGGAGGCTGAGGCAGAAGAATCACTTGGACCCAGGACTCGGAGGTTGCAGTGGGCCGAGATTGTGCCACTGCACTCCAGCCTGGGTGACAGACTCTGTCTCAAAAAAAAAAAAAAAAAAAATTACACATTAGAGCGATAATGTAAAAATAAAGTGTTTAAAAAGTTAAATGTCTCCAAACGTTAAACATTGCTTGAAATTGGGCATGATGGGTCATGACTGTTATCCTAGCAGTTTGGGTGGCTTAGGCAGGTGGATTGCTTGAGTACAGGGGTTCGGGACCAGCCTGAGCAACATGGTGGTTTCTACAAAAAAAAGTTCATAAAATTAGCCAGGTAATAAGGTTTGGCAATGTCCTCACCTAAATCTCATCTTGAATTGTAGCTCCCACACTTCCCATATGCTGTGGGAGGACCCAGTGGGAGATAACTGAATCATGGGGGCTGTTTTCCCCACACTGTTCTCAGGGTAGTGAATAAGTCTCAAGAGACCTGATGGTTTTATAAGGGGTTTCCTCTTTTGCTTGGCTCTCATTCGCTCTTGTCTGCTGCCATGTAAGATGTACCTTTCACCTTCTGCCATGATTGTGAGGCCTCTCCAGCCATGTGGAACTGTGAGTCCATTACACCTCTTTTTCTTTATAAATTACCGGAGCTCCAAGCTACGGCTCGTCTAGCTACACCTCCCCTAACCAGTGCGTTTTCTTCTTCGTGTTCCCTGCGGGTGCTCTCTTCTGGAACCTCGGCCCTTTCTGCTTTCGCACCTGCAGGGTTTAGTCTCCAGGACTGCTTAGGTGGGCGCCAGGAACCGGGAATCCCAACGCGGACCTATCCGTCAGAAGACTCCACCAGTGCCACGGAGACCTTGGAAACCCGGGGCGCCTGCGCGCTATTCCATTTCCCCAGATCCCACCCGGCAGTGCTTGGCCGTTGCCATGGAGACTGGTAATGGCCCCGCCTCCACACCAGAAAACAGGCGGGAACCACATGACCCAGAAGCCTGTGCGCAAGCGTCTGCGCGCCTATTGGGCCAATGTGAGCTGAGGGGGCTGGACTTCCGGCTCTGGCACTGTCATTTCGCGGCCCGCGTCAGCCCATATGGGTGGCCTGGGTTGTGGCGCGCAGGTCGGGGCCTGAGGCGGGCGGCTAGGAAGGTACTGTCCGCGAGCAGCCGCTGGCTCCCACAAGCCTCGGTTTCTTCGAGTACGGCGTGGGCGACCCGGGGGCAGTCGGACCCCAACGGGAGCCACGCGTTCTCCGGCGCTGTGGAAGCCCCGGAGGGGGCGCACTGGGCATTCTGCGTCCAAGACTACCGGGGAGGCTGAGGCGCGCACGGGGCAGTCGCGCGACACAGCGGGCGGAGATGGCGGTACCGGGTGGTTCACGCCTCTCTCCCCGCCCAGCTGCGGGTTTCGGTGGCCGCGCTGACAGACCCGCGCCGGGGAGGCGGGGGAGCGAGCCCCTGCTCCCACAGACCGCGCCCCCACGGAGGGAGGCCCTTTCCTAGACCTCTCTGCCGGTCGTCTTTCCTCTTCCTGCCTTGGGGCGTCAGTGCAGACCCCTGTGTTCAAGGCACCTGTGGGCTGAGGTCCTGAAGGAAGCTCCGAGGGTAGAGCTCTGCATGTGGGAAACCTGGGAGGGGGGCCGGAGCCCAGGTGCTTCTGGGACTGAGCGCTCTCGACGTGGAGCTCGGGGAGTGGGGACGCGTGTGGCTGCAGTAGCGGGCGAGGAGGTGGGCTTTATCTCGAGGTCGTCGGGAGACATAGAAGGTTTTGAACAGAATCAGGACACCCTCTGAGTTGGAATTTTAAAAAGGTTCCACCGCTCGCTGCGTGAAGAACAGACATGCAGGGGTATCGGCATGAATAGAAGAACCTACTGCCACAGTCTGTGCAGCAGTGGAGGTGGGCGACGAGGTGAATTCTGGTGAATCTGTGGATGCATCAGGTGTGGGGTGGTTGAAGAATTAACTGCCCCACGTTGTTCACCCTGAGCACCTGGAAGAAGGGAGCTGCTGTAGACAAGGGAGAATTGAAGGGAAAGCAGGTTTCCTTCAGGGGAAAGATCAGGAGTCTGGGTTGTCCCAGATTGGTCATGTTACTAGACCTGACATTGTTGGTGGCCTGGGCTGAGGACAGGGCATATGAACTGGACTTAGGAAGGCGGTAGTGACTCAGGCGTGGGCAGTTAAAGCTTGAGGGTAAAGAAAAAACTGGCTGGGGGGCCTGAAGCTATCAGGGGAGGTGTTTGGCAGGTGACTGAAAGAAGAAGATGGCAGCAAAGTGGGAAAGAAATAGAGGGGCGCCATGGGGAGGGAGGAAGGGATTGAATTCCTGTGTGTTCACAGGTTCTTGGGGCTGTTCCCCTTTGATGACTGGTGGGGATCATCCTTTCCCTCAGGCTGTCAGGCAAGCACAGCAGGGGAAGATCTCAGTGATGGGCATGTGTGTGGGGTCCACAGCTGGGACTTTACACAGTTGCTTATTACAAAAGCAAAAAGGACATATTTGGGGAGGGACATGAGTGGATATTTGAGGCTGCCCTTGATGTGGCAGCTAAGAGCCCAGTCAGGGCTTGCTCTAGCCTGCTTGTGTAGGGGTGGCCAGTGGGAAGGTCCATCAGGGGCCTGGACCAAGAGGGCAGAAGAGAGGGGTTCCAGACAGATGAGGGAAGTGCCACTTGAAGATAATCCTGGGGCAGAACCCAGGGAAGGAGGGACATCAGGGGAGGTGACTGTTGGGATGGGGAGCTTGGTCCTGGGTCACATCCATACCTTAGACCATGCCTACCTCCACCTCCCTGCTCTTTTAGGATCTGATGGCCTTCGAGGATGTGGCCGTGTACTTCTCCCAGGAGGAATGGGGGCTCCTGGACACAGCACAGAGGGCCCTGTACCGCCATGTGATGCTGGAAAACTTCACACTTGTGACCTCACTTGGTAAGGCCCTGAGTGCTCCCTGGAAAGTGCAGTTGGTGACCATTTGGCCTACCAGGACTTCCTCTTCACTTCTCTCCTGGCCAATGAGCAGGATCAAATCTCGCTGGGGCCACGTGGAACAGGGGTCTGGTCCTGTAGACATGTAGTTTGGTTGGGTTAACCACTCCCAGCAGCCCTGTCCAGCTGTGGCCTCTCCCGTGTCCGGGAACAGTCCCCTTCCTTTGGTGCTCTTGGCACGGTTCTGCTCTGGGGACGCATGAGCTACTCCCATGATCCACTTGCCCTGTGCCATCTTTAGATTCTCCCAGTTGCACCCATGACTATTTCCATGGAGCCCTGACTGCTGCTCTCTGTTGGGAGGTGTGTTGTCTTGAGCTGGGGCTGAGCTCTCACCTGCTTCTCATCCTCACAGGACTCTCCACCTCCCGACCTCTTGTGGTCATCCAACTTGAGCATGGTGAGGAGCCCTGGGTTCCCAGCGTGAAGGACATGACCTTGGCCAGGAACGCCTGTGGGAGGCACAACACTGGTGAGTGGGAGCTCAGGGTGGGGTGAACTCGGGACCAACCTGTGGCCAAGCCTCTGTCCCCCCTTTTCTGACTCTGGAAACAAATCCTCCCCTCCTGCCTCCCACCTTACTTCTTTTCTTCCATCATCAGCCTCTCCTGGAGGCTGCAGACTTAGTAGGTGCCCTTGAAGGGAGAGCTACAAGAGCACAGGAGCTGGTTCACACAGAAGGGCCTAACCTCAGCTGGACTGTGTGGCCTTGAATCCTCTGTGACTAGTGGCCATGATTGATAGGTCATTTATTTCTCCCATCATTCGTCTTTGGATTCATTGGATGCTTCTTTTTTATTTTATTTTAATTTTTTTAGAGACGGGGTTTCTCCATGTTGGTCAGGCTGGTCTCAAACTCCTGACCTCAGGTGATCCGCCCGCCTCGGCCTCCCAAAGTGCTGGGATTACAGGCATGAGCCACCACGCCTGACCTCATCAAATGTTTCTTGAGGGCTTGCAGGAACTATAGACACAGCCTTGACCAGGACATTTCTGGTCCTACGTTTGTGGGGCTGATGGGGAGAGGCACTCGGTAAACAGGATTCAGGAGTACAGTCTAGAGCATTGGATGGAGGTCATTGCAAGAGCAGGCTGGGGATTCAGTGCCCGAGACAGGGACACCAGGGAAGAAGGGAGTGACCTATGGAAAGGGAGTGGGTGGAACAGCCAGTGTGGAGACCTGAGTGTCACACAGCAGCTGCTCAGTTTTCCTCAGCCCCACATCCTGGGTGTCTGGGGGCTGTCGCCTTGATCGTGGGAGTTCCCACTGCAGTCAGTGCCACACCCATCAGGGCAGATGCTTCCCCCAAACACCCAGCCACTCTTGCAGGGCTGGCCTCACCTCTACTTTTCCGCTAAGCTTTTGTGCCAGTCACCAAGATCCCCCTTGCTTGTCTACTCACCCTACCCTGGTCCTCTCCTAACCAGGATGCCCCAGGCAACCACTATTTCTCTGCCTTTAGGTTCCTGGCGTTTGGAAGAGGATGGAGATGTTTCTGGAGAAGCAGCATGGCCAGGGGCCTTCCCAGATACTCCACCTGTGATGACTGCTAGTGTCTTCCCTGTTGCCGGTGCCTGCCACAGTACAGAAGGCCTGCAGCAACAACGGGGTGCCTCCCCATCTCGGGAGAGAAAACCCAGGGGGGTGTCGCTGATCTACTGGGAGAGGCTCCTGCTAGGCTCAGGTAGGGACCAGGCCAGCATCAGCCTGCGACTGACCTCCCCGCTCAGGCCCCCTAAGAGCAGCCGGCCCAGGGAAAAGACCCTCACAGAGCACCTAGTGCCTAGGAGGCAGTCCAGGGTGCCCAAGCGTCAGAAGCCATGTGCGCCGGAGGCCCCTGGGAGAGCCTTCGGGAACGCCCTGGACCTGAAGTCCACCAGTGGTGGAGGGGATCATGGAATGGGTGCGGCTTGGCAAGAGCCTCAGAGACTGCTCGGTGGCCAGGAGCCTTCGACCTGGGATGAGCTGGGCGAGGCTCTCCACGCTGGGGAAAAGTCCTTCGAATGCAGGGCGTGCGGCAAAGTGTTCGTGAAGAGCTCCGACCTCCTCAAGCACCTACGCACCCACACAGGGGAGCGGCCCTACGAGTGCTCCCAGTGCGGCAAGGCCTTCAGCCAGACGTCGCACCTGACGCAGCACCAGCGCATCCACAGCGGCGAGACGCCCTACACCTGCCCCGCGTGTGGCAAGGCCTTCAGGCACAGCTCCTCACTGGTGCGGCACCAGCGCATCCACACGGCTGAGAAGTCCTTCCGCTGCTCCGAGTGCGGCAAGGCCTTCAGCCACGGCTCCAACCTCAGCCAGCACCGCAAGATACACGCAGGCGGACGTCCCTATGCTTGTGCACAGTGTGGCCGCCGCTTCTGCCGCAACTCGCACTTGATCCAGCACGAGCGCACGCATACAGGCGAGAAGCCCTTTGTGTGTGCACTCTGCGGTGCCGCCTTCAGCCAGGGCTCCTCACTCTTTTTGCACCAGCGTGTGCACACGGGCGAGAAGCCTTTTGCTTGCGCACAGTGCGGCCGCTCCTTTAGCCGCAGCTCCAACCTGACCCAGCACCAGCTCCTGCACACAGGCGAGCGGCCCTTCCGCTGCGGGGACTGTGGCAAGGGTTTCGCCAAGGGCACTGTGCTGCTGAGCCACCGGCGCATTCACACGGGCGAGAAGCCCTTCGTGTGCACGCAGTGTGACCGTGCCTTCCGTGAGCGCCCAGCCCTCTTGCACCACCAGAGGATCCACACAACAGAGAAGACCAATGCTGGAGCAGCAGACTGCACCCCTGCGCCAAGACTCCTTCAAGTGCATCGTCGGAAGGTGCGTCGGGGAGGGAAGCCAAGCCCAATCCTGAAGCCAGCGAAAGTCTGAGGTCACAGGTTGCAGCCTCACCCTTTCTTGGCCTTATGTGAATCCCTTTCATAGCTAAAGAGTCCATGTCCTCTTCAAATCCACGATGGGGAAAAGCCCTGTGCCTGAGAGTCTGGGAAGAGGGAGACCCTTTGGCTGTGGTTCCATTTGCAGGTGGGAACAGGATTTGCCAGTTTATTCATAGCTCACACCTCCATCCCCAAAGAGGTAACATTGCAGAAGCATCAGAGAGAGGACATGTCAGTCCCAGCTGTAATTTTGCAGAAACATCAGAGGGACTGACATGTCCAGCTGTAACACTGCAGAAACATCAGAGCAAGGACATGTCAGCTGGGACTCTGGTGGGACTGAGGCTGTAGCTGGAGCCATGGGAGGCTGACAAAATCAGCACTGCGCAATGGTGCTGCTTCATGTATTATGATACTGGATGCTGAAGTGAGGGGAATGCAGACGTGGGGGGTAGGGGTAGCCCAGAGAAACTTAGGGCATCTACATACAAACTGGCTGCTGTACAGATGCTGAGGACATTTTCCCCCCAGGCCTCTGTTCAAGTCTCTGTGGGGGCCATCCCTCCAGATAGGAGACTATAGGGCGCTGGGAATCAGGGTGTGGCCTATGAGTGTCAGCGTCCTCCTCTGAGAAAAAGAAAAGGTTTGGGTCTACTCATCATCACGTTTGCAGATTCCGACAGGCAGGATCCTAATGACAGTCAACCTGTGCTCACTGCCAGCTCCTGGGCTGTGTGTGCTCTGGTCAGGCAAGGGTGAGGGGCTGGCCTGGGGTCAAGCACACAGCCGACTCAGGAGAGGGATGCCTGTGGGGGAGCATGTGGCTCTCAGCATTGGAAGGACAAATCTAGGATGATGGTTTTCCAGTGGCACTTGTTCAGGTTCTCATCCACGTCTCAGCTTGGCCAAGGCCTGTCACTGACTCGTTTACCAAAGTCAATGTGATGAGGAGGCTTTACACTTGAAAGGACAGTGATAGCTTCAGAGCAAATAAGGTGGAGCTGCTCATTTTTGCTGGGTTTGGTGGCCACTTCCCCCCCACAACTCCCTGTCTCATCTTACCCTTATTATGCCTCCTCAGTTGGGGGGTTGACAAGAGAGCTGAATAGGAAGGACTTGCCATTACCTAAGGCCATGCATGACACCCTCCTGAGGGTGGGCCTCCCCACCCCAGTGTAATGGCCCTGTATGGCAGAGACAGAAGGGTGGACTGGGGGCCATTTGCTTCCTGTGGCCTTAAGCCTACTATACCCCATCCCTACCTAGGACCTTACCTTCAAGGAAATTAATGGTCTTTTCAATGGAAAAAATAAAAAGACGAGCATTTGCAACTTAAAATAGATGTAGTTTCCTTTACAGCAGTGTGGACCTCCACAGCACAGCCTCCTGTCTCTATTCCAGGGCATGGTTCAGTCTTTTTTGTTTGTTTTTGAGATGTAGTTTCGCTCTTGTTGTCCAGGCTGGAGTGCAATGTCATGATCTTGGCTCACTGCAATCTCCACCTCCCGGGTTCAAGTGATTCTCCTGCCTCAGCCTCCTGAGTAGCTGGGATTACAGGAATGTGCCACCACACCCAGCTAATTTT